TCCATCAGCTTGAATTATAATTTGTGTATGCATGGACAATTGATATATTTACTCATTAATCTTTCTCCCTAAGCCACAAAAGTTGCCTTATACTGCTCAAACTGCATCCCAAACACAGATGGGATGTATGTCATACAGACCAGTTTATGCGTTTTCTCAAGTAACCATTGTTCTGGAGTACTTAATCTTTAATCGCATATCGATGAATATTAATCTCGCCTCCATCCGTCTATTTTGGAAGTGTGCCCTAACTGAAATTTAATAACTGATGACGTCGTTTAAGCTCAATTAACATGTGGTTTCGTCCGATCAATATTGTTTCCTAATCTTGATTAGTGAAACTTCGATACGAGTTAATAGGATAAGGCACTTGTTGTTTTTTACAATACCTTAATTTATTGTCGACTTTTTTTTTTAGTATCGGCTTTCGTCATGCTGAATAACATTATTTATTTTTGATGTTGTTTGATCCAACTATTAGATATCCGAATATTATTCTGATAAAATATACTGTAAAATAAAGTAGGACGCACCTTTATATGTCTTATGAAAGGGAATTATTATTACCATTTCAATTTTTCATTTCATTTTAGTATAACATGTTAATGATTGCCTTATGCTTGTTAAATCACTCCCGGAACGGATGGGACACCAACTCAACAACAAAAGGCATTTAGCGTTATTTGGGTTAATGACTTAATATTTTTTTTTTCATTGGTTCCAATAAAATTCAATAAAAATCTTTCTAAATAGAAATTGACAATAATTGTGCGAATCTTAAAAAACTAGCATTTATATTATTGAGCTAGGGTATTCATATTTATCAATGATTTTCTTTTAAGGCGGTTCAGTGTAGTTGCAGAAGATAAATGTCGAACATGAGAATTTGGATGTGACTTGAATCTCTCTCGGAATTTAGGTATTTATTGGCGAATAACTTCTTCAACAGTTAATAGATTTAGATCACTTTGTAGATTTCGTTTTTGACATACCACGGAGCGCATGTGATTTAATATGCAATTTTTCTTTGAGATAGGATCCAAGTTATTCTTAAGATCAGTATTAATTTTTTCAAAATGTGGTTTGCAATCCACATGTCCATGTGGACACATGTATGTGTCCAACTGAATTGGTAGTTTTTTAACAAATAATTTTTTTAAATTTTTCCTTTGTTTAAATTTAATAGCTTTTATATTTATTTATTTGTCTGAAAATAACATAATTTATATTTACATATAATAACATTTACTTTGTCTTTTGTGTCTTTTGCTTAATAACTAGAAATAAAATTAAATAAAAATTAAAATAACATAACAATAATTGTCTTTCGTTGCACTCTCTTAAATTCATAAATAATAACTATTTAACGGACTGAATCTTTGCTTTTAGTACAATGTAAGCCAGTATTTTGAAAGCAACGGTTATGATGCAAAGTGCATAGAAGTCTTTCCAAAATTGATCGCCACGCATTGTAATCTCGTCGAGAAACTTTTTCGGGTATCTATTGAAAAAGGTCGGTAAAATTAGTTACTACATTAACTAATTTATGTAATTTACCTGTAGTGACAGTATGGAGCTTCATTACAATCTAATACTCCACGATTTTCTCCGTATATGGCACCAATGAAGCCTTCTAAACCATAACGTAAATATGAAATATGACTACCCCATTTGAGATAGCTTGGCAAATCTCTTAGTGTGACGCCAAAACCAGCAAACATCATCATTGGTATGGTAAGTACTGGAGCTAGGAAGGTACCGTTCTAATGAAAAAACAATGAAAATAGAATGTTATTTAAAAATTAATTTAAACAGCAGACTTTAAGGTCTCTCAATGTTAAATAATGGATGGATCTCTTAGTTAAAAGCAAGTAGGTATATTCATAACTTTGTGATAATGACATGAGACAACAATAACGTATTTGTACGATTTCTTTTGCAAAAGGGTGAGTATTGGAAGGTCATTGATAACGGGCATAACTCCAACCACATAATTAGAAAAGCCATTTATATAAGCTTTTCATCGAGACATGAATGGAAGAATAGATTTAACATAGTTAAACAGGAATACAATATTTTCATGAATGGTTCAAAGATGGAATATAAACTGAGCACACGAATCTATCTATCTAAAAAAGACGTAAAGAAATTCTTTTAGCTAGAAAGTTCATTAAACGTCTTCCAAGCTGAAATTCCAATGAATTAATGAGCTTGACTGAGAAGATGAAGAGAAAAAAAATAGTTTTTATGGAAATCGCCATTATATTTACATTAATAAATTTTGTAAAAATAATCTCCGTCATTAATTAAGCACTTTAGTTTTAAAAACTTAATGTCATTACTTTTTCTTCGGGTCTGTGGTATATATCGTCGCAACTTGGACAGAAAAGAAAATCTGCAGCCGTTTATCAACTCAGATTTTTTATGCTGTATATAGAGTATTGTAGTTCCATTTAATCAAGAAAGGCTGGTGAATAACGACTACTGCAAGAAAGCTGTAAGGGTTTTACTTTGTATTTTATTGTTTACTTTACTGAAGTTCACTATACAAAGATTTGATATATACATTTGCAAAGTAATGGTATGGAACTATAAAACTGTAGAATGTAATATTCCCATAAAAATGGAAATTTAAAATCTATTTGGAAATAGGAAAACTTTTTACTATATATGGTCAAAATATGATATTTCGTGAAAACTCGTGACGAAGCTCCTTCTTTTAGCTCCTTCAAAAATTTCTATTATTATTGGAATTTATAAAAACTAATATAAAACTAATATGATAATAGGAATATAACATGAGATATTTATTGTATATCTGATGTTATATTCATTAATAGAAAATAAATTTTTATATTTACTTAATATGACTTATGGAAATATTTTTTTTTTTTTTGTTAATAATTATACTCTAATAATTCTTTATGTTATTTTTTTAATTGTAATCTAATTAAATATCTTAATAATTATAATTTTTTTTAACTTACAACAACACTGAACCATGCACCAACAATTAAACCGAAACTTTGGCCAACGAATACTGTTAGAACACTGATTGCAAAGAACATGTTAAATCTTGACAGTTCCATTGGTTGATAACTCCAGAAATATATAATTATGGAAAATATGAAACAACAAAGAATCTGTGTTGAAAATAATTAATATTTGTTATAATGTGATATTGTGTAGAAATAATGATTTTTTTTTATACTAACAGATATAGGTAGATCAAGTATAGTTATCGATGTGTAGTAGGCTTTAAGTGAATACCAACGATTGAAATGTTCTTTCAACAAAATTGACATCTCCATTGGAACTGTAAAATATAATGATTTGTAAACATTTATTATATATGGGTTTAACTTATTAAATATAAATTTCTCAATATGTTTATAGTTTTTACAAATATTATCATAGAATATAATTATTTTGATGAATTATTATTCATTATTTTTATATTTCATATATTTTTATATTAACTAATTCCATGATTAAAGCAATAATTAATAATTATTTTCAATTACCTATATTTATAATTATATATTTAAAACTCTACATGACTATATATATATAATATATATATATATATATATATATTATATATATATATTGACTATAGAAAATGTTTTCAAATATTTAAAGGTCTAAAAAAAAATTTTCAATTATTTTTAATTTATATGGTATATATTTAAAATTGTTAAATTAATTATTATTTTAATTTTTTACTATCATTTATAATTTCCCCTAACAGCATATGTTAAATATCATATTTGCTAAATATTATTATTACTTATTAAAATTATAATTTTTTTTTAATTATTTATGAAGGTTATTTTATTATTTTTTAATAAGGAATTATTTTGTTGATTATTGGTTTTTAGTTATGATTTAGTTTTATTTATTTATTATTGTTTATGATATTTATTTAATTTATTTATTATTTAAACTTTTTACTAAATTATAATTTATGTATAATTTTATATATATATATAAAATTTAAATAATTATAAAATAAATGTCATAAATAATGAAAATTATATATATAAAATTATATTTATATATATATAAAATTTATATGTAATAAAACTGAATTTTTTTAAACTATAATTTAATTTTTATTGTTTTTATTTTTATTATTATTTCTAATAACTTTTAAGATCGCTTTTAATTATTTTTATTTTTTAATTTAGTATTACTTAAAAATAAATATTTTCTTATAATATTCTATATATATTATTATTTATATTTATTTTATAATTATTTAGAATTTTTAAAAATTAATGACTTTAAGCAATGATTTTGTTGTTTATAATTTTATTTAATTTTTATTAAAACTATTTTGAATAATTTATAAATTTTATTAATATTAATTAATTATTAATTTTTAAAAATTAATGACTCTAAGCAATGATTTTGTTGTTTATAATTTTATTTAATTTTTATTAAAATTATTTTTAATAATTTAAAATTTTATTAATATTAATTTTAATTTTATTTTTTATCTCTGTTTATAATCATTTGTATAATCATTTTTAAGTATTTTTAATGTTTGATAATAATTTATAATTAAAACATATTATGAAATTCTAATTAATTAAAACTTTAATAACCAAATACTAAAATTTACAATTTTTCGTATTTTTATTTCTGCTACTTATTTCATATTTTTATATTTAATATTGTTAATTAATAATAATTTCGAGCAAAAATTTCGTTGTGTATAAATTTTTTTTAAAATTTTTTTTTATTATATTTTTTTATATTTATTTATTTATTATATTTTTTTATATTTATTTATTTATTCTATTTTTAATTATTTTTAATTTAATAATATTATTTTCAATTTAAAATAATTTTAAATTATTGAAACATATTGCAAAATTCATATTATTTAATATATTTAATAATTAAATATAATATTTTATAATTTTATACGTTTTTTTAATATTTATGGCATTTATTTCAGAATTATTTAAAATTTATAATTAATTATAAATTTTACAATGAATTTTTTTGTTCATAAGCTGTTTAATATCTATTTTATCATATAAAAATTTTTATTTTTATTTATAAAAATTTTTATTTTTATTTATAAAAATTTTTATTTTTATTTATAAAAATTTACACAAATTTTAATTATTTTTAAATTTTATTAATTAATTGTTATTTAATTACATAATATGTTTTATTAGAATTTTTTATAATTATATCCCTTATTATTTTCTTTTTTTTCGTTTTTTGTGATCATTCACACTATTTTTTGTTAATTTGTGTATATTTATAAAGAGAAATATAATTTTATTTTAAAAATGTAAAAATTAGCCTCTTATTTCTCCATTACTTACAAGTAAGAACAGTCAACATCATTGTTGACATAGAATGATGCATCAAGATCGCAAAGAGTAAATTATAATTATCCAATACACGTGAACCCTCTTTACCAGAATTTGCATAAAGTGCTCCCAACATAACTGCCACAAAAACGTTAACGGCAATACGTATATGTGTCAGTGTAGTGTCACGCTTTGATTTAATATAACCTCTTTCTAATAGAACTTTCAACTGATTCGCAAAACTGGTGTCTTCGAGTGTGCGATGTCGTGATCTACGCGGAATCGGATACTTTCGTATTAAAGCTTCGGAACGCATTATGCTGGCAGGATTCTCAAACCAAGTCCAACAGCTGCCGTTTTCTGCAGCCATTTTAAGCGTCTCAACTTTATCATTTCCATACTCACCGCAGGCTAATTCTATAACTACAGAAAAAAAATCAGAGGAGAGAGAGAGAGAGAAAAGGTGAGAGAAAGAGAGAAAAAAAGAAAGAGAAGAAGATAGGACACAACTTTGTTATAAATTCATTATTTAAAATAAAATTTACTACTTACTGTAATCTGCTGGGTTGTGGTACATAGGGCAAGATAGGTCGACAGTTTGCAGGAATGGTACTAATTTGCGTGTACTACCCTGGTAAACGCAATTACCAGCTGAGAGCACATAGACTTGATCGAAAATTTGAAAAAGTTTAGCTGTAGGCTGATGTATGGTGCAGATTATAGTTCTGCCTTGTTGTGCTAGTTCTTTAAGTAATTCTAAAACTTTAGCACAGGAACTGCTATCTAATCCACTTTATATGATAAAAAAAAAAAAAAATTATTTTAATTAATATAAAAAGCGACGAAATTTTTGAAGTTTATATTATAAAAACGTAAAAATTTAAATATTTAGTATAAAACATAAATAAGCTTATATGATATGAGAGATATGATATTAGTTTTCAAGTACTTACGTTGTTGGTTCGTCTAAGAACATCACAGTTGGATTATTTATAAGTTCCATTGCAATTGATAGCCTCTTTTTTTGACCACCGGAGAGACGTTTTGTCATGGTGCGATCATGTTCATATAGACCCAGTAGTAATAAGATATCTTCTATCTAAATAGATAGTTTTTATTAGTTATAAACATAAATTACTCCAGGTAATACTTACTCTACCCTCTTTCTCCTCATATGACACATTAGGACCCAATTTTAAATCAGCAGCGATATGCATATTCTCGTTAACTGTCAATAATGGCTGTAGACGATCATCTTGTGTTATATAACAAGACATCCGCCTAAATGTTTCTAAATTCACAAAAGTACAATAGCTCAAATCAGTTTATTGCGTACGCCTAGTTTTTATTTGTACGTAAATATTATGTATATATACATATTTTATTATTTTTCATAGACATATTATATATTTCTATATACATCTATATACATAGTGTGTTTAAAGTTAGTTTTGATTAATTGCACTTACCTAAATCTCTTCTTCTGCCATTTACAAATATGGAACCAACAACACCAGTTGTTTTGAAACCGGATAAGGCATCTAAGAGCGTGGATTTGCCAGCACCGGATGGACCCATAATAGCAATAAGTTGACTGCCAGGAAATTTGCCACAGACATTGTGTAAAATTTCTTTTGATCCTTAAAAAAAATATATAAAACTTTAGCAATTAAAATGTTAATTAATTTTAGATTTTACGATTTCTATTAATAAATTAATTACGGATATATTAACATCAACACAAGAACTTTAATGTATAAATTATAAAAGAAATATTAAATTTTCTAATTCCGTACACCTGCTAGATCCGAAGCGATGCCAGATGACAATCCTTTAATGCGATCAATGTGGGTGAACAATATGTGTACCACATATCTCTCAAGATTTATGTGCCATTAGTATGACAACTTAAATTCAGTCCCCCAAAACTAATTGCTTCAGAGAATTTTAATCGAGCAAATTGGTACTTGCAAACTAGCAAAGTTAATGGATGTCAATAAGTTTTTTGTAAGTCGGGATTGGTTTGCAAAAACACTGATTATAATAGTAGCAATAGTACATGTCAGAATATTGCCCTCTATGAAAAAACACACCTAAAAAGAAACTTTAGAAAAAAGTAATCTTCTATTAAATGAAGCAATCTTCAATCAATGAAGCAATTAATCTTCTATTACATTAAGCAATTAATCTTCTATTAAATTAAGTTAATTAAATCAATTAATCAATGTTAGTGCATATATTTACGGCGAAAAAGAAATTTTGAAAGATACTTTAAATTTTGTTATATACAATTAATTTTCTACTTTATTCGGAAGTTGCGTCTCTCAAAAGGACACCTGCTCGATGCTTCGGACTATTATTTTTAAGGTGGTACCTCAGGTTTGACGGACGAACAGTGGCTTAGTAGATTCACAACGGCTATCAATATTTATGCTCAATTGAGCTTTAATGCACATGACTGTCACTTTAACTTAATCTAATATATATATTACTGTAGAAGTTTGTGTACTTTTGGAAGTAGAAGTAAAAGTAAAAGGTTTTGAACTTATTTGATAAAAGAAAAGTTTAAAAAGAAATGATAGGCTCTCGTGCCCAACTTTTTTAAATTCATGTCCGCATTCAAACAAACATTTTTTAAACACAGCTAAACCGCATTCTTAATTCTGAAATATTGAATAAATTTCTTTAGCTATTTTGTGGACTTATACTATTGTCTGATGTTTTTTCTAGATCCAATTTATAAATCAGGGATAACATTTGATATAAGAAGATTTTAAGAATTTGATCATTAAGATATAGAGCAACTTTATGACGAACGTAATCTACATCTTTCGCAATCTGGAATCATTTTTAAATGATTTCACAGTCTGAAATCATTTTTAAATGACTTCAAAGTCTGGAATCATTGAAATGAAGCGAGAATATGATTTTAAATATGATGACAGTGAACCAAATTAATTTATCTTTGGGCTTTTTTTGTATTTCAATTGAAATATTATTTTTTTTTTACTTTTTAAAAACTGACTCTTTTCAGTGGTTTGTGAGAAAATGTGTGAGAAAATGTTTTTTTTCTTTATCATCACTATTCCATAATCCATTTAGTCATCTAACTGTGTTTTCAGATGCAACATTGATTATAAAAATATTCTTTTTCCTTAACATGATACACTTTCTTTTCTAATTCTGGGTCCGACTGAACCATGTTCTTCAGTTGATGATTATAAAAATATTCTTTTTCCTTAACACGATACACTTTCTTTTCTAACTCTGGGTCCGGCTGGAACATGTTCTTTAGAAGGAGATTACAAAAATATTCTTTTTCCTTAACATGATACACTTTCTTTTCTAACTCTAGGTCCGACTGAAACATGTTGTTCAGTTGGTGATTATAAAAATATTCTTTTTCCTTAACATGATACACTTTCTTTTCTAATTCTGGGTCCGACTGAACCATGTTCTTCAGTTGATGATTATGAAAATATTCTTTTTCCTTAACATGATACACTTTCTTTTCTAACTCTTGGTCCGGCTGGAACATGTTCTTTAGAAGGAGATTACAAAAATATTCTTTTTCCTTAACATGATACACTTTCTTTTCTAACTCTGGGTCCGGCTGGAACATGTTCTTCAGTTGGTGATTATAAAAATAATCTTTTTCCTTAACATGATACGTTTTCTTTTCTAACTCTGGGTCCGACTGAACCATGTTCTTCAGTTGATGATTATAAAAACATTCTTTTTCCTTAATATGACACTTCCTTTTCTAACTCTGGGTCCGGCTGGAACATGCCCTTTAGAAGGTGATTATAAAAATATTCTTTTTCCTTAACATGACACACTTTCTTCTCTAACTCTGGGTCCATCTGGAACATGCCCTTTAGAAGGTGATTATAAAAATATTCTTTTTCCTTAACATAATACAATTTCTTTTCTAACTCTGAGTCCGGCTGGAACATGTTCTTCAGTTGCTGGAAGAACATGTTTTTCAGTTGGTGATTATAAAAATAATCTTTTTCCTTAACATGATACATTTTCTTTTCTAACTCTGGGTCCGACTGAACCATGTTCTTCAGTTGATGATTATAAAAATATTCTTTTTCCTTAATATGACACTTCCTTTTCTAACTCTGGGTCCGGCTGGAACATGCCCTTTAGAAGGTGATTATAAAAATATTCTTTTTCCTTAACATGACACACTTTCTTCTCTAACTCTGGGTCCATCTGGAACATGCCCTTTAGAAGGTGATTATAAAAATATTCTTTTTCCTTAACATAATACAATTTCTTTTCTAACTCTGAGTCCGGCTGGAACATGTTCTTCAGTTGCTGGAAGAACATGTTCTTCAGTTGATGATTATAAAAATATTCTTTTTCCTTAATATGACACTTTCTTTTCTAACTCTGGGTCTGACTGAACCATGTTCTTCAGTTGATGATTATAAAAATATTCTTTTTTCTTAATATGACACTTCCTTTTCTAATTCTGGGTCCGGCTGGAACATGCCCTTTAGAAGGTGATTATAAAAATATTCTTTTTCCTTAACATGACACACTTTCTTCTCTAACTCTGGGTCCATCTGGAACATGCCCTTTAGAAGGTGATTATAAAAATATTCTTTTTCCTTAACATAATACAATTTCTTTTCTAACTCTGAGTTCGGTTGGAACATGTTCTTCAGTTGCTGGAAGAACATGTTTTTCAGTTGGTGATTATAAAAATATTCTTTTTCCTAACATGACACACTCTCTTTTCTAACTCTGGGTCCGACTGAAATATGTTCTTTAGAAGGTGATTATAAAAATAGTATTTTTCATTATCATAATACAGTTTTATAAAAAGTTCCCTTTTCTTCATTATTACGAGTCCTCGACTCATCTAGCTTTCTCGTTAGGGCTTCGGTTATACACTATTTTTGGTTATCGTTACGACCCTACAATTAAATTTGTTTTCATATCAGAGAATCATTTTATTAACAGTTTTAAACAGACTATAATTATTTTCTATGAATTGGACAACACCTTAAAGCATTATTTTTGTTTTCTACCAGAGCTTGTTTTAGATGTTTAGTTGCATCATCAGTCGGTAGAAGACTGTTATTTTTGGCATTCACGTCTTCCTTAACAAATAGTATAATTGAGATTAGAGATATTCGAAATGAATTTAAAAAATTAATTATTTTCTAACATTATGTTATGTTCTGTTAGTTTAATGGAATTTAATTTAAATGTAAAAATTGTGCCGTTTTCATAAGTCACAGTTCAATTGAACCACTTTGTACTAGGGAAGTTCTAATGACCTAGAATTCCAAAAAAATTCCGTTTGAAAGCTTGTGAAATCAGTTGCATGCAATGCCAATGTACTATTATTAATAATATTAAGCGCTTACTTTCATTTAATTGCAATTTAGCTACTCATTTAGTAGACGTAAAAACTGGTAGCAAAGTACGACAATTCATAAAATAGCGATGTTAAGCTAGTCAGTTTCTTTCAGCTTCACTGATCAAAGTCCATGTGATCGGATTAAACGTTTACATATTGAGTAATAAATTAGCATTTTACTATATTAGCTGAGTGTTTTACTAGAGAATTCGGTTCAATACTTAAGCTACCTATAACAATGTGTACGGATCCCATGTAGAAAGTAGTT